TACCGCGAACGGCGTGTGCGTTTGTAAGATGGTTGAGCTGCCGTTGAGCGTCTCAGCATGTACTTTTTTGACATCTTACATGTAATTGCAATAGCTCTCCAAGGAAGAAGGAAGAAACGTCGAGCAAACGTACTATAGCACAAGCACAGCACCATAAGACAAGTAAAGTAAAGCATTATGGATAATATGATTGACCATGTGATCTTGGTATTCCTGTGCTATCCAACCAGGAAATTATGGGTAATTTTAGCTGCCAGGTTACTTTGTAGGTATGCACGTGATTGCCTGATTATTATGGTATTTGACAGGGCTACCTATGCCCTGGTAGCTGCAAAAATGTGTGATTGGATGGGAGATTTAGTACTCTGAGCATGCGCTTATGTTTTATTCAGTTACATAAAGCACACGTCGTCCCACATGGTTCTTAACAAGCAAATTTATTAGTATATAAGTCAAGCAAAAAGTAGTARTATACGATGATATGCCGCAGACTCGGAGGTAGACTCATATGACGTATGTTAAATTAATAAATATCATGACGTCATGTGTGACGCAATGACACAGGGATCCCAGTTGGAGTTGTCTGATTTCCGGTTAGAAAGAATATCACATGACAGGAAGGTTGCGGATTGAACTTCCGGTGTTCCAAACGCGACATGACACACAGATAGATTGGCAAAAAGGTAAAACTAAAGTCGGCCTAGCCTATGGCTAGCCCGACTAAAAAGGCACAAAACAGTACTCTGCTGACAAGTGAATGCCAAAATTTGTGTTTGGAGGACTACAGGGAACACTAATTTCCAGCTCAATTTTTAGCGTCAAAACATGTTTTCCTAGCAAAAAGTCCACTTCACTTGCGCAAACCCCTYKTATAGCACGTCCTCATTTTGCCGTTTTTATTATGTCAAAGTCACTGCAGACCTCTCAACAGCCCTCTTCTGTCTTTTGAGCACCCGGTACAATAAACTCCTATGCACGACCGAAATGCATCACGGGAAGCGACAAAATTTGGACATAAATCTTGCAGCATTCTTCTCTTTAGAATTATTTTGTGTGAGTTCCCCCGCACCTACAGGCAAAATATTGGTCCAATTGCATTCTTNAAACCTTATACGTGACGAATGTTTGAGCTGACAACCTTATTTGTGTATTATCATTGGCCAAGACTTAGCACTTTCCGAAACACCTGGCCGGTCTCGCAGGTACAAGACGTTAACTTGAGGTTTTCAAATCTTGTAAAAGAAAATCCTTGACGAATTTATAATCAACGAACATGGTTTTTTTTTCTAACTCAACGTCAGTTATCAACTGCAGCGATACAAATGCCCCAAGTGAGCTGTCTTACCTTACTGCTTCGCTATCTGGTGTATTTTTCTTCATCATYGTRTCTGGAAATCTTCTCATTGTCATCGCGATTATCAAAGACCCTTACMATGACTTAAAGAAGCCTTTTATKAAAATGGTTGGGAATTTGGCCTTAGCGGATTTGATTGTCGGGTTAGTTGTAACGCCGGTTTCCCTAGCACATCATGTCATGGAAGGAATGAACGCTGAAGTTTCGCTGTGGCTGTTACGTGTGCTACATTTGTCTTACTTTATTTCTTGTACGGCATCGTTATTGTGCATTACAGCAATTGCGCTTGATAGGCATATTGCCATTGCTTTCCCGTTGCATTACAAGTCYACTTATCTAAAACGCAATCCTGTGAAATGCTATGCACTGATCTGGTTTGTTGCTTTTGGCCTTCCCTTTCTGTATCTTAAAGTGGGTTATATCAAATACGCATTCGTGTTTGGCAACATAGCAATTATCACAGCCATTTTATTCTTATTTTCATCGCTTTACATCATAAGGAAACTCTCCCAAAGACACAAAGATCAAACCACAAGCGGTCCAAGCGGTGAGCAAATACAGAGATACAGCACAGGTGTGGAAAAACGATTAACCAAAGTATTTTCCCTGATTCTCRCTGCTTATTTAATCTGTTATTTCCCGTCCTGTTCAATAATCTACATCATGAACTTGTGCACATCGTGTGGTTGTGAAACCATCCATTGGTTACGAGATATGCAGTTTGTTTTGGTGTTGYTGAACAGTTGTATCAACCCGTTTTTATATGCCTGGCAGATTAAAGGGTTTCGAAAGGCTTTTAGGATTATAGTTGGGTCATTTCTTAAACGTAGTTCATCGTCCTATCGAGTTCCRACTTCGAGCGACGGAAAAGGCGGAAAGCGCGAGAACAAGGAACTTACAAGCGAACAAAAAGTCGTGCAAAATGAAAAAGGAATTGTTCAGT